TATTCTGATTCTGTGATATGATTCTATGATTGTCATAGGAATTGGAAGAACGTTTACAACAGAAGCACTCAGAAGAACTTCACGCACTGAAAGAAACACATAAACAAGCCATGGAAGGCTTTAAGTTGGAGATGGAACAGGAACTTCAGACTCTACGGTTTGAACTGGAGGATGAAGGAAAAGCTATGTTAGGTATGCTGCTTTCAGATTTGGAAATGGGTCCAAAAACATTATTTCTACTCATACAAATCTACATATACATGTGCCTGTGTGTGTATTGTAACACTGTAGTGTGAGTTACTCAGTGTTGACCTAAATGTTCCTCCTAAAATCAGTACAAGTTTTAACAGGTAAACCCAAACTGTTCACTTTTGAAATATCTTACCCTTAAGCTTTTCTTTGGAAGGAACCAAAGTTCTTAATGGAGAATGTTTCAGAAGGTAACAGGAATAGAATGACAGGACAGTTGTTTAGCTGATGTAAACTGTGTGTTAGGTAGGTGAGAAGCAATACTAGCTGGAGCTGGACTGTTATTGCTAATTAACGTTAACTTTTCCAAAATAAACTTTTCTTTTTGTTCACCATAACTAGCTTCCTTGCGCTCAGAGCTCAACCATCAACATGCAGCAGCAATTGACCAGCTAAGGCACAACCATCAACAGGAATTGGTAGCTGCCAAAATGGAGCTTGAAAGAAGCATAGAACTCGGCAGGCGACAGGTAGGCATGGCTGGCAACTGGCAGGAAAATGGCATGATCAGTACTTGGGTTTTTCTTAGATGGAGGCAAGAACTGTCATGAACAAACGTGATCCTTCAAAGTCAGCCAGCACCAGCAGCTAATGCATTCCTACCAGTTTCCTAAACTTCCTTGCTTAGCTTTTGCTTCCAACTACAAACTTCATTCAAAGCCTGGGAAAGGCTCCTATATCAAGGCAGTTTCCTCTCAGCATAGCACAGCTGTCTGGGAGCACACTGGCTTGGCAAGTGCCCATTCTTGCAAAATTATACTCATCCTCAGCTGCCAGCAGGACTTAAGAGGGAAAAGCTGTTTCTCTTTGAAACCTAAGTGGTATGGCAAAGTGAATGATTGCTTACAACCACATGATTGCTTCAAACTTAAGAGGTCTCTAAGTATCTTTCAGGAGCCAAATTGGAAGAGATGAATTAGCATCTAAAAAACAACAGAGAAGATGTAACAACTTCAAACTATTTCTTTAAAAAAAAATTAAAGGCACACAAACCCAAAACAAATGCCCAAAGCTAGTATGGACTAGCATTGCTTTCAGTGGCAAACTGATTAATTCACTTTTATTTTTCACTTTATACACAATCAGTCTTTTCACTAGTAACTAAAAATTCTAAGTTTGGTCTCTGTTGAAAGGAAGCAAGACTCCTGGAAATCAGAGGACCAGAAAATTACTTCTTTATTTGCCTATACGATAGGCCTTTTAAGGTCGATTTACTGATAGTCCAGGACCAAGGAGGAGTGGTTTTAGAAATACATGAACAGAGGAAACAGGTTTAATTGGACACAACCTTTGCAGAAAAACAGACAGGCAAAGATGAGCCTTTCTTTATCTCTTCCTCACTGTTTTAAAAGTGTGAGCACTAGAGGCAAAAACGTGGTGCTGTCATGCAGGATTTAGGAGGATATGGTTTTAGCTGTGTCTTGTTTGAGCCTAGAGTCTGACACCTAAAGGAGATGTCAGGAAAAAAAGTTTAAATTACAAGAGCAAGACTTTGATCTAACCAAATGCTGTGGAATTTTGGCCTTGGTATAATGATCTGCTAAACATTAGCTTTAGTTGTACTGAGAGCAAAGCAACTCACTGTGTTTTCCTGTGTTAGAATGCTCATCACTTCGCAGAATCAGAGCTGAACTAGATGCAGAGTGGTCTGATCAGGATGATTATATTTGCTACTTTTGGAAAAGTTTAAATATGTGGATGTAAATTTCCCAGTGCTTTTTCTTGTAACTTTAACATAGTCTTTATATAGAGAGATAGATAGTTATTTTTCAGGGTCTGTTCTTAGATTCCCTGTAAATACGTGCGTTAGGATATATTGTGTTTCCTGGAGACATGAAGGCATAAAACTACTATGAAATATAAAACTACTATGAAATATCTGTGGATTTTCTCTGTGCAAACTATATGGTCACTAATTCTTGAGAAACTATGAGAAGTGGAATAGATGCAAGTGGAAAACTCTGAGAAAAGTTGCTTTCATTACAGAGATTCCTAAACTGAGGAGACTCATTATGAAAGGCATTTGAATAGGCACCAGATGAGTTTGCCAGATGTTAAATTACCTTGATTGGAATTTCTTATGCAAAAAGAATGATTTTTACTGATTTATTGGATACAGTATAAGTGCTACATGGACTATTTAGCACATATTCTGCTGCAAGACAGTTATGACCCTTGTACATATTTGTAAGAGAGGAGACTTCTGAATCAGTGTCTGTGTA